TAGGAAATCAAACTTCGAAGCAGGTTTTTATTAAGATATTGTATAATGTTTTTTCCATCTTCACTGTAGTTGACAAATAAGAATCTCTGATACGTCCAGCATCAATGTCATTTCGAATTTATATACTTCTGACTAATTTGCATCTCTCTGAATCTTTCAAATAAATTATGAATTTTAGCATTCAGAAATACGTTTTCACTTCAAAATTTGATGTACGACACAATTTGCATCATGAAATTAAGTACTGCAAGTAATTAGCTCATGAAATGGGCTCAAATTTATTGTTTTATTTACCTATTTTAATGCCAAGGCGAAATGAATTGTAAACCTATTGACCGGTCCGGAGTGCGGTTATTATTCATGGGAATGAATCTATTTTTCATTTATTTTTATCATATTTTTAAATTGTTACTGTCCACAGCCAGGAGCTGGTTCTCAAGACTTCTCCCTGCGCTTCAACGCAAAGGAGAGTACAACTCGAGTCTTTTTACAAGAACTTCGCAACTTTCAAATTTAACACTAACATTCTTAAGAATTTAACTTCTTGGAAGAGGTTGAATGCTAAAATTTAAAAATTGGACAACTTTAAAAAGTAGAAATTTAAAGCTGAAAATTTAAAAAGTAGAATATTTTTAAAAGTTAAAAATCACAACAATAGTAGGATGAAAAGGTTAAAATTTAAAATTTTTATCGTCAAAAATCATTGGTTTAGAAAGGTGAAAAGTGGAATTTCTAAAACCCTGGTTATCGCAATTACCATGTTATTATCATTTTCTTGGAATTTTTTTTTTTTTTTCAGAAAAAGAGCAGATGTTAAACACAAAATCTCCTTTATCAGTTGAAGAAACTTCAAATTCCAGAGCATCAACTGTTCAGCCGGACAAAAAAAACGGACCATCAACTTCTAAAAACGCTTCCAAACTTCAAAAAACTCATAGTAAGTGTCCCATAGAGGCATCTCATCTCTTTGTTAATTATTTTGTTGTGTTCATTTTGTTTAAGTGCAGAAACTTACGACAAACCATAGAACTGTCATGGTAAGTCAGAGGTATCTTTCCTGGAGTAAGTCAGTGTCCGGCTGAGGGTTTCTGCCCCCCCAAACGACCCCTATCTTTACGCAGAATTTTTGAATGATGAATTGAAAGAATTTGTGGGACAAAGTCTGCTTACAAATTCTGTAGTATAAAATTAAGAAAAACATAAATTAAAAATGGTGGAGTTATTCTTAAAAATAAAGTTGAGCAAAAAAGAAAATAGCTGAGCCGCCGCGGTGTTTGTATTTTCATAATGCTATTCATGCAACTGGGCCCGTGGCTTGGTCTAAAATTTTCAGCACCCCTAAATGACACACCTCCTGTTCGGTCTCTTATGTGTGCTGCAAAATAAATGGCAGGGCTGGTTGTACTCTTACTAAACAAAGGTTAAGAAAAGAGTTTGAGTGTGGAGCCAGCCAGCTAAAATTAATCCATCCCTACTTTGGGTACAAGTGCAGCAAGTCAAGATGTGTTAAAATATAAAAACTGCTAGATGCTTGTATTGGATTTTTCCTAGTTTGACAAAAATTCACACCAAAGAATGATATTTCAACCTCCTACCTTCACCAACAGAAGTTAGGTTGACGTTACCAATGACTTTGTTCGATTTGCATGGAGCTGGGAACGAAGAAGAATTATCATCTGCAAAAAAAAGCAAATTTCGGAATAAATACAACACAGAAATATCTTGACGTGAGCTCACAGAAACTAAGAACTAATATATTACATCAGAAGGAAGTGCGTACACAGAACTTTGAGCTTTATTTGTCTTTTTAACATTAATCCGTTCATTGGATTGCAAGTAAGCGTGTGAATAAATTACTGGAAGAGAGAATAATTCCAGTTAATGGATAGCTCTTCTCAGGCCATGATGCTTTAAAAACGCCGTATCATGAGTAGCTCAATTTTATTGTTAGTGCACTCATTCTTCTTTCAAAAAGGCAAAAATTAAAGATAACTGAACGAATTCAGAAACTAGGTACAAACTACATAGGTACATTTAAAGGAATTATGATGCATGCAAATCCTAGATGCACTGTTCCTTTTACGTTAGTTCATTTGCACATGGTTTCTTATAATGTGAGTACACCCGATTCATTTATCACTGGTTCAATCTACTCTTGAAGTCATATACCAAAGTAATGCAATGTTTAATTGATAAAATTGCACTACTAATGTACGAAAATGTACTAATGTACGAATGTCACGAAAAGCGCAGCCGCTTTTCGTTTTCTTTCCTCATTTTGATTCTTTTCGTTGACAGAATCATTAGCAGATTACAAATAATCAATGTAAAAGTTGATCATTGTTCATTACATAAATATCTAAAAAAAAAAAGATACATATTTATAAATGCAGTTGGAAGAAAAATGAAAAAAAATTACGCAAATCAATCACAGAGACGATAAAAAATTAAATCCAATCACTGAGAATTGAACAGCGGCAAACATTTTGGTTCGAGTACAATGCCGTAGACCCCAACTCTACAGCAGTGCGAACTCAGGCCAGGTACTGCAGGTCATCCTCTCTTCAGAATATAAGTAGGCGACTGACAAGGGGAGGCTACCGATTGTCCACCTCAGATCGGGTTCAAATTTGGCAGAGAGGTAGAATAGGTAAATATAAGAAACCGTATTTTTTTTTAGGTGCCAATGCCCAGCCGTTTTTGAGTTAAGAATTTTTGAAGTTGCCGTTTTTTCGTGTCAGCGACGCGCTCAAGTTGAGCCTACTGTGCGCGCATCTTTTAATGCGATCCGAGTGTCCTAACGTTCAATTAACACAGTTGCCCAAACGGCAGCGCGCTCGCCTACGGTGCTGCAGGTTCGGGGTTCGATACTACTTCCGTGAATTACAATTTTGCAATTGATTATTTTGTTTTTTAATCGCTTCATCACAACAAATTGTAAGTTACCTTGTAGACGTTATGATTCTAATTAAATTTTATGTATTTTTTATTTTTTTAATGAGTGTGTAACAAAAAAGGAAAAAAATGTAATCAGCACCACAACGTCTACAAGGTGACTTACAATTTGCTGTGATGAAGCGATTAAAAAACAAAATAATCAATTGCAAAAATGTAATTCACGGAAGTAGTATCGAACCCTGAACCTGCAGCACCGTAGGCGAGCGCGCTACCGCTTGGGCAACTGTCTCACTTGAACGTCGGGACACTCGGATCGCATTAAAAGATGCGCGCACAGTAGGCTCAACTTGAGCGCGTCGCTGACACGAAAAAACGGCAACTTCAAAAATTCATAACTCAAAAACGGCTGGGCATTGGCACCTAAAAAAAATACGGTTTCTTATATTAACCTATTCTACCTCTCTGCCAAATTTGAACCCGATCTGAGGTGGACAATCGGTAGCCTCCCCTTGTGAGTGACCTTCCCTTATAAGGAAAATATTTATGCATTGTTCATGTTGTAATTAATAGTTTTTTATAAATAAAGAGATGGCCATGTGAAGAAGTCATTGTCTACAAATATCTACCACCATGGATGGAAAGTAGGCTTCATAAAATAAAATCCTAACGACCTTTTTTCCCCCTCGCCAAACACAATTTCATACCACTGCTCTTGCCCCAAAATATACTATATCTGTGATGGGAAATAACGTTCACATTCAGCAACTTTCAATGGGTTTTCTAATGCCTATGCTCAGGAATGAGCCTTGCTAATAAATGCATTGTAATGTGAAGCCCAATTCAGCTGAGACGCTGTATGAAGTCCTAGCAATTTGGCTTTATTACGAATAGTTATGGGAGAACTAGGGGGCTACACCCCCTGGCCGCTACGCGGCCCAACCCCCTGAAGGCGCTCCGCGCCATCAATGGGCCGCTTCGCGGCCCTATTTTTACCCTCCTATCAGTGTTAGTTTTATTTTTACCCTAAAAAATTACGACATGAGAAATACTTTAATTTCAAATGTTCCTGTTGCTATTTGTTTTATTGACTTGACGAATCTTTACAAATAATTATTATATTTTTAATATTTTGTGCTCGGCAATCGAAGGCTTGACAAACAGGGCCATGCCCTATTCGTTAGTAGAAGAAGACTTAAAATTACTTTAAAATTAAAAGGACGCGTTTTGGAATGACTGCTTGATGAAATATTGCAGTAAAACAATGAACAATGGTAGAGTCAAGTAATAATTTAGATTTCATGAGTCGGGGATCAAACCCACACCGAGTTCACAGTGGACGCATTCGACATCTTAGACGACTCAGCCACCTCTCAACATGAGGTCTCAGGTGCGAATCTTGTTTAGATAAGTGTAGAGCTGATGCGCAGGCTACACAGCTACTGCGCAACCTCCTCGACCACTGCGCATCCTCCCGCGCATAGCGGTAGCAGTACCGGAGCATTCTGTAAACTCACTCACTTTTATAACGTGATTTTAAAAAAACCTGGGTCCTTTTTCCAAAATCTGATTAAAGCGGGCTCATCTAGGGCTTATTACCTGTCGATTTACGCAAAAATCATGGAAATCGACCCGGTAGAACGCTCAAACGAACTATGACAAAAAGTATAAATTTACATTGTTTAAATGGGAGAATTCGCAACTTTACCACGTAATATAAAAAAACCTGGGCCATATTTGGAGGTTTTGGCTTATCTAGAGACAATTGTCCGTCGATAGCCGCAAAAATCATGAAAATCGGCCCGGTAGAACGCTGGAACTAAGCGTTACCAGTTTCGCAAAATTAGGAGGTCTTGGAGCTTATAGTATAGAAGGACAACCAAACTGACCATATTCTTCGGTTTAATATCGAGTGAACTAGAGCTGTTATAGGAGCAGACTGCGATTACAATTCATTCAGATGCAATCCATAAATGGCAAACCACCTTCAGATCTAGCAGCAAGTAGATTTTCTTATGACAAAAATATTCTTACCTGAAAGAATTGCTGATGTATAATCAGCAATGAGATACGAAGGATTCCAGAACATTCAAGGACATAAAAAATCTCGGGACCACTAACAGCGTAAGACTTTATTCGCAGCACTCGAATTGGGTGTGATAAAATCAACAGCACTACTACCTGGGCCATAAAATCTTACTTGATTGAGTTATTTGGGCCCTCAGTTTGTACGACAATACCAAAGATGCGGGAGGTACAGATGGGCATATTTAATGACTAATTAGGGAGTGTTTTTCAATACATTTTTTTCTTAAAAAATAAAGAAGGGGGTATAGCTAATTTGTAGCATAATTTGAGTATTGGACTAAATTTTTTGAAGAATTAATTTCAGTCTTACATTATAAAGGCATTACAGGTGGGTACAAAAAGGATTTAAGTATTTTCTACATGAAAACATCTGAAAAACTATGAATTATGCAAAGATACAAAGCTAGAAAAAAGACATTAGTTGCACTCACGGATATACACGCAACCTCCATCTTATTGGCTTGTTTATTATTTTCATAGTGACGTGAATAAAAAATCAAAATTCAGCTTAATAGATGGGACAGCAAATGTTTTGGGAGGGCTGCTCATTGCACCATATTAAATGGTAAGAATTATTTACGTCAAGATATCAGTTAAAGCCCAAAATAAGATTTTTTCTCCAAGTTTTTACAGCTTGAGTCTTGTGCAAAATCGGTCAAATCTTCAATAGCTCTGATTGCTTCCATTTTTTAGTGAGATATTCCTCTGTAACAAAGAGCCTCATTTCTAAAAAGGAATCCTGTCGCCATCAAACTTGACCATACTTAGGGCTCATATTTTGGGTTTCAGCTAACAGACAGAGTTAAAACTAATTTTGCCTAGTTTATTTTGCATTTTAATGCTTTCCGTGTTGGACTCTGACATATTGACAAAGGTTGTTCCAAAACAGTGTGTGTCCATCAACTTTTTCTCAAGAACTACAGATTAATATGCAAATAATAAGAAGCTCTAGAACAACTTATAAGCTTCAAAACAAAACCAAGATGAGCTCATTTGGTCGAAATTTGACGAATCTGCAGTGATATTACAAAGGTGAGTTAAATTTACCCCTCCAGGATTTTCAGTCTTTCATGTAGGTGCACCACTCTTTAGACGGCAACATCGCATGAAGTTGATATCATTGATGAGCTATGCTTCAAAGGTTTGAAACTCTTTCGATCCATCACTCAGACAAAAAAGTAATTTTTCAATACATATTCCCCCTTTTACTGTCCTCAGCAGGTTAGTGCTGTCTGGATAGTCAGCGATCACGAGACTTTTTTGCAGATGGCACTTCAAAGAAAGCTTTATGCCACTGACAAATGGTTGGCGGATAAATAAATATAAACTTCAAGCTTTTTTAGTCGCTTCAGAAGTTTGAGCAACTATTAGACATCTATAAATACAAAATCGAATGATGGATATACAGTTGATAATTCTTAAATTCACGATAAAAAACGTGATGCCGGTCAGAGAAATGTCTCGTGAACGCTGACTGTCCGGACAGTACTAATAATGCTGAGGACGATTAAAAAGGAAAAGGTATTAAAAGATTACTTTGCTGTTACACTATTCGATAGACAGTTGTTTTGGAATTAATCACAGTAATGCATTCCATTTTCCACAGATATCTGTGGTCTAATTTTACAAGAATGATAAGTAATTAACTTAGGTGAAAAATCTTTCATAATGTATATTTTTTATGACGTTTGGCAAGCAAGAAGATGTGATTGATACTAGTAGGTTGGTAAATTGGTGACAAAGGAGTACAAGGAGTGAGTAAGCTGCAATGAAAATGCTTCGTGATTCCTGAAAAGTAAACAATACAAACGTACAACTGACATGCTTCGTTACAAAATCTATTGATGACATCAAGCCCCTCTTTTGGCACTTCAAGAACCACCTACTACTCTTCCTACAACATATGGTTGAGAAAATCTGACCGCTCATTACTGAGTTGATCATCCAAGGCAACACTAATCTATCAGTATTACGAACATTTACAGAGGACCACTAGACAAGAAATGAAATCAATGACCACAACACAAGTTTCCTCATTGAATTTTCAAAGAAATAGGGTGAGAACATTAAAAATTTCCTAATTCAGCTCACATGTAAGGAAACAGCATTTTTTGTTTTCATCAATTCATCTCCCCCCTCACAAAAAACCAGACACTACTTGAAACAAATCGAGCACTAAACTAATTTGAATATGAGTAATGGAAATAATTATTTCTGAAAGCTGAATTCTTCTGGATAAGATTTCAAGTTTCATGGTGGTTTATGGGGGGAGGGTAGGGTTGGCCTACGTTAGGAAGCAATCAGCCGCCATAAGTTTTGTTGAGCCAGATTAATACTTTCTTAAGAAAAAAGGCTATTCTGAATGGCCAATTTTACCAAAAACATCAAAAATGGCAGACAACGCACTGGGTATCTCTGCAATGCTGGCAGAACGAAGTGAGTTAGACGGATGGAAATTAGACGGTATGCGCCAGCAGGGTAAAACAGACAGTGTTGCTCCCTTAGCAGAAGTCCTGGCACAAGCATACACGGAGAAATCATTTGTATGCTCCGTTTCCCAGGAATCACTCTTTTAGACTCAGATTTTAGGCAAATAAATTAGTGAACAAAATTGTTTCATCGATCAAGTTTTTAAGTGCATAACATCCAAAGAAGAGGGAAATTTTAAAGAAGCTTGAATCTAGTTAGTTGGGTGAATTCAAATAGCGTCTAATCTGGTGTCCCCAGCTGTTTTCATCGTCATAATCTAAGAGACATGGGCAGATCACATTTTTTGCTCATTTTCCACTTTATTGTTGACTGTTACATGCTATTTTCCACTTTATTTGGACTGAAATAAAAATTTAGGAGAACTTTGAATGTGCAAATTGCCTACATTTGTCCCAAATTTGCATGTCCCCCGTACCTGGTTCTTGACTTTAAATCGATGTTGCAGCATAACTAGAGTGATTACTTGAGAAAACTTTATCGGAGATGATAAGTTATGCTTTTGAATTTGAGAAAAAAAATATGTCAATTTCTTTTTTGCTCCATCATTAACTTTTTCACTTGCTAGAATCATTGTCCCGCGCAACAGTCAGCAACAGTCAGCAACAGTCAGGAGAGACATGGCAACGATGTGATAAGCTCAAAATGATTGCCGTAACGTTGAGGTTTTTCGAAGAACAACTTTTATTGTTTCGATTGAATAGTTCACACGTCGCAGATGGCAAAAATTCTGAAATTCGAAAATTTTTGTGCAAGATTACCGCCATTAATGACGCCAAACAAAATGCCATACACGATAACTAACAGGGCGTTAAGCATACACACACACACACACTAATATCAGCTCGTAAAATACTTTCGAAGTGTGCGTTGGGGAAAAATTTTCCTTATTCCAATACTCTAGGATGTGCTACTAAATATTCCGTGAAAAAAACACCAAAATTGTCTTTACTGTTAGGGATAAGCTTAAAAAACAGCTTACTTCCATCCTGTACCGTTCCATTCGGTCCCATATGTTTCCATCCTGTCCCAGTGTCCCAGTTTAATGGGACTTAGTGGAAGACTGTTACAATTGAGACTTGTTGGTTTAAGTTCACGAGAAAAAGTTTCAACTCCATTTTTGCCGCAGGGTAGGGATCCTTTAGCTATCCTACCGCTATCAGAGTGCTGTCGAGAACCTTATCACAACTGTCGGTATGTTCTGTTGAGCAGTTATGTAAATATAAAACGGTTGTATTTGTAAGTCAATTTCTTTTGTATGTGAATGAATTTCTCCTAAGTAACAATTTCGCTCAACAAAGTTTGGTAAGTAAGTACAGCTCAGATCCACAATTGTGCACATATAATTATTAGTCCAAAATCAATGTGAGTAATGTTTTGAGGGTAAAGTGTTCTCTATTCTCCAACATTTGTTTGCAGAGGTGCAAATTCCGCAGAGGCTGAGAGGTACTTGTTATATTTCTAGATTTTTCAGATTTGCAATTCTTGTGGAATACTTACTGTGACTTTGGCACACATTCTAAAATTAACAAGAAATTTCACAAAAGTTTGATCAGCGCGTTGTGCTGACCTTCTCGCGAGAACCTAGCGGGAAGCTGAAAATTGCAGAGGCATGAAACAATTTTCACTTTGGTTTGTGAGATTTTCTTATAAACTTGGCATCCTCATATTTGTCCGACTTTTACCAAAATTATCTTGAAATTATCTCTCCCATCACCATGTAGCAACAAAATTAGCATAAACATTCTTGATAAGAGGTGGCATAGTATCCAGAGACCCCTGAGAGTTTTGTATTAAATACTAATGATGCTCCTCTGGAAGAATTAAAAATCGACCATTCTAAACTACATACTTATAACAACAGCTCTTGCTGACGATAACCTGCTACCTTCATCAACTTAATCTGAAGTTTAGAAAAATAGATAAGCCAACTAATGTACTATCATTTCCATGCAAACAGTCAACCTTGTATTTATTGAGGAATGATAAATACAGTTTTTACTATGCCTTAGAATTCTTACCATAATTCTTACCATTTGGAGTCAGGAAATAAAAGTAATTGCTTCATTGTTTGCATTTTTATTGGCCAACTAAGTTCACAGTGGAACTTTTGTCTACTTGGTGGTAATGAAGGTAAGTATTTATTCTTCTATTATTTGGATGAGAATTACCTGCATAAAATATGACATACTGTGACACTGGGTGCCGCTATTAGGTACTCTACCTACTGATATTTCAACGATACTGGAAAAATTCATAACTCTGGTAACGGTGTTATCTTGCAAGCTATAAAGCTAGGAATTAGTCATATTTCGATCCTTTGAGATTTTTTCATCATTCAGAAATAAAAAACTAAATTCAGCTGGAACAGGCACATTTCTAGGAAGAATGTGACGGATAATTTATATCTCAACGTCATCTCACTTATCATGCTTCTCGTCCTCATCTTAATAAGAGCAGGCGAAGATTTGAAATGTGCGCTACAGATTCGGTAGTGGCCTCGCCTGGCAAAAGTGGTACCCGCCTGACGTCACAAAACTTCAAGATGGCAAAAAAAAAAAAAAATCAAACTGGAACAATAATTGGACTACATTTTGCAATTTGGAACTATAAATTCTGGCCTAGTTTAAAAACAACGTATGTTCCATTAGTTTCCCTATGCACATAAGTGTTTTTTCAGACGAGCCAGAATTTATAGGTCCAAATTGCAAAATGCAGTACAATTAAAGAAAAGGACTGTGGTGGTTACAAGGGAATACCTAAATGATCATTCATTTTTTCGCACCCTTATAATTCAAAAAAATTAATTTGAAGTTCGTATTCGGAGACTTTACACTTTACTGGGACAGCATCCAATGCCCAGCATGAGCATTGGAAACGTCATTCGTGAACTCAAAATGACCGACTTGTTGTCTTTGACTTCATCCGCATAAACATGCAGAAGAATAAACTTCTAAAGTTGCTTTTCTTTTCTACTGATTTTTACAATGTTTACCATGGCGATTTGTGAATGTAAAAATTAAAAAAAACTTACATTCAAGTTCCTATTAAAGCTAGAAAGTCGGGCGGTCAGACAACTCATGAGTACCGAGTCGTCGTGCACCTGCTGCACAGCCAGAGTTTTAGAGACCGAACGGCTTCGCGGATTCTCTGACAGAGCGCGGCCGCGGCGCGGCTACTTGACTCGCCGTAATGCCTATAGGATTCGCTAGTGGCGCAGTGACCTGCCACCATCTCATGAGTGAGTCGCCGTGCATATGCGGTTTTTTGGACAGAATTATTTTTTTTTTTTTTTACTGGTGCGGCGGCAACAGCCTAAAATGCTGTCTCAGCGCCTAATCAATCGATTTACACGAAACTTGGTACCTGGATGTATTTTTGAATGAGGAACTCGAATTTTCAGTCGAATTTTCAATATTAGAAAATCCAAGATGGCGGACGTGGCCTAAAACGCTATCTCAGCACCTAATCGATCCATTAAAGTGGAACTTGGTACCAAAGATATTCTTTGACGGAAAACTGAAAATTTTAGTCACATTTCCAAGATTCGAAAATCTAAGATGGCGGTCGTGGCTTAAAACACTATCTCGGTGACTAATTAATTGATTTTAATGAAACTGGACCGGAAAACCTTGGTATTAGGAAAAGAAAGGAAAATTTAATAGGGGTGCAATACATGGTTTTTAAGGTATTTTAGGCTACGAAATCGAAAAATTCCTAGGTTTTTTCCATCGTCCACAGATTCTCCCGGAAAACTGACTCTTCTAAAAAAGCTAGATTTTTAGGAAAAATTCCGAGCTTTCCCAGGATAGATCGCACTGATACAGGTAAATGGAGGTAATTTTCAGAATCAGCGCCAAAAATCTCCTCCGAAACCATTGGCAAATCTTCGGAAAATAAAAAAAAACGTTGACTAGAGTAATTGTTATGTTAATGCAATTCTTCAAACTTTTCCTGGCTTTATCTCCACTTCAGCGGGTACACGCCCACTCGAAATTTTAAAATTCGGTGTTTTTGCTCCATTTTGTTTTACAATGTTCCAATAAATAAAAACTTCTTATCGTGTTAAAGGAGGACAGTGCGCATTTCGATAAAAAGATGGACATGTCTAAAAGACAAGCAGAATAAGCTTCAGATATCTTTCATGACTGATGAATTTTTTCTCAATTTTTTTAGTTCTGCAAGATATGAAAGTGTTACATTTTAATTATGCTTTAATTCAGTGCTCGACGATGCCTTAATGGCAATGGGCCTATTGCAAACTTTTGCTAGAGCAAAAATAGGAGTTGTATCCTGCAGATAATGCCTCAAAAATCACGATGAGCGCATCGGCAAAGTCTGAAATGCACTCATAACTTCACAATCTGCGTAAGAAATTTGCGGTTTTTTGAGCTTCCCGCTTCGAAAACGATACTACGGTACAGGTGAACATTTTGTTAGAGGAGTCGTTCCATTGGCGACAATACTCATCATGGCCGACGCAGTCCGCCAAAACACGCGTGATGGGACGAGATAACACCTGAACAGGATTAAACCATATAACAATCGGCGTGTTTACGTTCATATTTTCCTCGCCCGCCTTAACTGACCTTGAACTCTCCTCGAATTACGCGAGGAACTTCGCAAGCGTCGGCCATGATGAATATTGCCGACGATGGAGCGACTCCTCTAACAAAATGTTCACCTGTGCAGTAGTATCGTTTTTGAAGCGGGAAGCTCAAAATAACGCAAATTTCTTACGCAGATTGTGAATTTATGAGTGCATTTCAGACTTTGCCGATGCGCTCATCGTGATTTTTGAGGCATTATCCATAGGAAACAACTCTTCATTCTGCTCTAGCAAAAGTTTGCAACAGGCCCATTGTGTTCAATTTTCAATTAAAAGTATTATATGTCACCTCTGAGCTGAAAAGTTGGGAAATCAGGCAAATATGGAGCAAATTTTGGAAAGTGATACACTTGACAGTGGAAATTCGGGTTTAAGCTCAACTGTTAAGCTCGACGAGCTATATTTCCTAAGTCTACACCTAATGATAGTCAAAATAAAGTTTCGTTTGCCCAAAAATTCAAAAAAAATTTTTGGGAGGAAATAGAACCTGGAATTAGACCCTTATTTGAATTCACCCAGTTATCAGATGAGACAATACATTCCCTTTCAATCGTTAGTTTGACCTGTATTGATTTTGGTTTTATTGGAGGTGGGAGGTTTGAATTAATTGCTTTTTCTGAAAAATTTTATTGGGGTCTATTGCTCAATTATGAGTAAATTTTGAAAATTCTCAATTTTGTCAACTTATCGTACAAGAAACTTTCACGAAGAAATACAGGCTTATCCAAAAGTCACTGACCACCCCTGTAACTTTTTTCCAAATTGAGACAGAAGTTTGAAACTTTGGCAATGTTCCTCGGTCTGAAGTTGCAACTTTTTGGTCCCCCCAAAGTTTTGGGAGGCGGCCCTCCTAAGGGAGGGCGGGGGCTAGCTTTTTTTTTCAAATGGCAACCCCCCCTTTGTGATACCTCATTCGAAAGAAAATAAAAAATAAAATTTTTGGCGCGAACCGCAGGTCGAAGTGTTGGTTTTTGACAAAATGGCGTACGGTCAAAGTTCAAAATGGCGGAAATTTGCCATCTCCGTTTTTCATCGGCGGATTGGTCTGAAACTCAGAATCCGAGTGGTTTTTGGGACGAGAAAAACGATTCTGGCATTGATTTTCCAGAAAAGTCAGTCCTTTTCAATATGGCGGCGGTCAAATTGGCGGCCAAGAGCGGGAAGTGGATATTTAGGCTGCTTATCGTTGGATTTGCATGAAACTTGGTATCCGGGGGTATTTTGGCACGAGAAGAACGAATCTTTCATTGGATATCTGAAATTCCGACAAATTTCAAAATGGCGGCAGAAAAATGGCGAGAAATCAGTTTCACGGCTGTTTACCGATGGATGTGCATGAAATTCGATATCCTGATGGTTTTTGGCTCGATAAAAAGGAATGCTTCATGAGATTCTTGAAATACTAAATAGACGATATCGAATTTCAGGCAAATCCATCGGTTAACAGCCGTAAAACTGATTTTCCGCCAATTTTCTGCCGTCATTTAGAAATTTGTCGGAATTTCATATATTCAATGAAAGATTCGTTCTTCTCGCACCGAAATACCCCCGGATACCAAGTTTCATGCAAATCCAACGATAAGCAGCTTAAATATCCACTTCTCGCTCTAGGCCGCCAATTTGGAAAAGACTGAATTTTCTAGATGACAAATGCCAGAATCGTTTTTCTAGTCTCGAAAAACCCTGGAATTCCGAGATTCACGCCAATCCGTTAATAAACAACGGAGATGTCAGATTTCCGCTATTTTGAACATTGCCCGGCCGCCATTTTGTCAAAAGTCAACATTTTGACCTGCGGTTTGCGCCAAAAATTTTCTTTTTATATCATCTTTTGAATGAGGTATCACAAAGGAGGGGGGGAAGGGGTTGCCATTTGAAGAAAAAAAAATAGCTAGCCGCTGCCCCCCTTATAGGAGGGAACCAAATAGTTGGTACTTCAGACCAAGGAACATAACCAAAGTTTCAAACTTCTATCTCAATTTGGAAAAAATGGCAGGGGTGGTCAGTGACTTTTGGATAACCCTGTATGTTTAGTGATGCTATAAATCTTAACCTGTCTGGTGGTCTTTTGGTTGAATTTTAGGATTCTTCGCAAAAATGTGCAAAATTTAAGGGAAAATTGAGCAAAAGTAAAAATCATGTTCATGAAAGGTTCAAGATAGAGTTATTCAGAGGTTAAATTTTTGAGAGTTTGATGGTCTCAATACACTTTTATGAGATTCACACTTTCCATTATGGAGGGTTTTTAAGGGTACCTTCATTTCCTTTTATTTCCTCGATGGTAGCGGTTTTGAATATGAAGCACCATATGAAGGCCATACTTCATGCCAAAAACAGGCATCTCAGTGCCTCTTGAAAAAGCTCTTAGAGTTTCACAGCGAGGCGCAGAAATCAAAACTACGGCCCCAGGCAATGCTTATCTCATCTTGAAAATCCTTCAAAGATTACAAACAATTTTCTGAGTTGGTAATTCATTAAAAAGCACTGAACTAAAAAATTAAATCAATACATAACAAAAACTTACTTTTCAGTCAAAAGTTAACACCTATAGTTTACTTCCAGTGAGGCAATGGCGCTGAACTTTGATGTGGGACAGCAAATTACGGGTACAGCAATTCAATGTTCGGTGACTGCATTTCATTGATTATTTGGTATTGTGAATAAACGCAAAGCCAGCAATAGTACTGAAAAAAATTGATTAAAATGATTCACAGATCTTGAAGGATAAAAGTGTTAAAGATACCGATGTTAAGAAAACTGCAATGTAAGAACTGTAGAGGGGTTGCCCTCTTATTTCGAGAGGATTTCTCATTATGATTCCTCCATTCAATGAAAGAGAGGACCTGCCATTCTCTCATTGATAGTACTGCGTGCCCACTACAGTGCCGTTGATTGGGTAGGTCTAAAATTTTAAGACAGTAATCTTCAATTAGTTACATTTCATGCTGAGACATACAAAACAATTTCAGTCAAAAATTTGAATATTTAGCGTTCAAGTAATGAGAAGTAGAAAAACTGTTAAGGCAGGAACCAATATGAAGAATTTCCGACACTTATACTCATTACACACAGATAATTACACTTATAGTTTCCACCTTGATCGTCAGATGCCGATGATGGAACTAATGAACCGTGCATTTTATTCTGTGGCTGTGCAAAGTTCCTTTCTCATTTAAATTGTTAGAGAGAAGACTGATCATTGTTACCCCGCAATTTGGGTACAAAGTATATAATGCATTGCACCCAGCCAGGGTACAAAGTATATAATGCATTGCGCCCAGCCAACAAACACAGAGGTGGGTCATCCATTATTATTAAGGAAAATTTTAAATATAATCTGATAAAATTGATTGAGACTCCAGCTTTTCAAGCTGTAGTAATAAGCATTCAGGCAGATATAGGCAATTTTAATGTTGCCTCACTCTATACCCCACCTGGTAATGTCCTATCAACGGAAGATTATATCGGTTTTTTGGAAGAGCTGGGTCCCACGTATCTTGTGGGTGGAGACTGGAATGCAAAGAGTCCCAGATGGGGATCCAGGATTACAAATCCTAAAGGGGAATCTTTACTTGAAGCAGTAAATAAAACAGGAGGAAATTTTATCACCCCAGGAAAGCCGACAAATTACCCTCATGTCCCGGGCCACAAGCCAGATTTAATTGACTTCTTTATTTATCAGTAAATAAAACAGGAGGAAATTTTATCACCCCAGGAAAGCCGACAAATTACCCTCATGTCCCGGGCCACAAGCCAGATTTAATTGACTTCTTTATTTATCAAAATTTAAACATAGTCGATAGAACCTCATGTGATACTATCCCCATGAAAGTCTTACAAGGTCATGTAAAAATTTTATTAACTATATTTAGTAATCCTGTTTTAGATGAGAGACCTCCCAATATCTGTTCTAAACAGACAAATGGGGAACAATTTCGCTCAGATTTGGAAAAATTAATAGTCAACAACATTCCAGTTGCCACCCCTGCGGATATTGACAGGGAGGCGGAATTGTTGGTGGAACAAATTCAACAATGTGCGAAAGCTAACACCCCAGTGGCTACAAATAATTCAAGACCATATGCTATCCCCAAGGATCTTCTGAAACTAATTCGTTCTAAAAGAAAAGCAAACCGCATTTCTGTCTCTTCCTCAAATCCAGAGGATAAAGCACATTTTAATCGACTAAACAAAATAGTCAAAAAACGAATAAATGAATTTCTAAATTACAAATTTGAAAATTTCGTAAAATCACTTTCACCACATGCTGACAAAAATTACTCTCTTTGGGCAGCTACAAAGTACTTAAAAAGACCCAAGCAACTTAAATTTCCTATTAAAAAAGCAGATAACACCTGGGCTGAAACAGACTTAGAAAAAGCAGAACGGCTAGCGGATCATTTCGAAATGGCTTTCCAGCCACACAACGATATTGCCGCACCCTCCTCAGATTCAGAAAATGAGAGTTCCACTGACAATCCCGACTCCGAACCGCACAGTCGGAGAGAGGTGTCCTCATTAAAAACTCGAAAATCAAGGAACATACCACCAGTAAAAATCAAAACAATTTCTCCATCTGAGATAACTAAAGAAATTAAAGGTAAAATTAAAGCCAAAAAAGCTCCTGGCTATGACAAAATTTCAGGTCTTATTTTGAAAAACCTGCCAAACAAAGCAATTATGAAATTAACAGCTATTTTTAATGCAGTCATTCGTTGCAAATATATCCCCAAGCAATGGAAAATGGCAGAAATTTTCACTCTTCTAAAGCCAGATAAATCACCAGCAGAAGCTGCTTCTTATAGACCAATTTCCTTACTGCCGGTCATAGGAAAATTATTTGAAAAACTTTATATAAAACGTTTAAATGAAATTGTAAAGCAAAATAACTTAATCATTGATGCGCAATTTGGCTTTAGGGCTCAACATTCAACAGTAGATCAATTACACAGTCACTAAAGAAGATGCTTTGGAAAAGGGCGAATACTGCGTGGCTGTTTTCCTTGATGTAGCACAAGCGTTCGATCGAGTCTGGCATGAGAGGCTCGTCGATAAACTTTTCACCATGCTCCCATGTAACCATGTGGAGCTCCTATCGCCCTTTCTTACTGGAAGACAGTTCAGAGTCAGAGATGAAAATTCAATATCAGGTTTCAGACAAATACGAGCGGGGGTTCCACAGGGCTCCTGTCTGTCCCCTCTTCTCTACTCTCTCTTCACCACAGACATCCCACAGTCTGGGAGGAGGAGGAAACTGGGAGTTTATGCCGACGATACTCTCGTGCTAGCCTCGTCTAAAAGCTATAGAGAGGCACGTCATACAGCTCAGCAACACTTGAATAAAATAAATAAATGGACAATGAGAGATAAAACAAAATTAAATGCCTCAAAATCAGTTGAAGTAATTTTTACTAATCGTCCATATATTCACATCCCGCTTTCTTTAGGAGAAGATAAAATTCCACACGACTCTGTCGCCAAATATCTTGGACTTCACCTGGATTCCAGGCTCAGGTGGGGCAACCATATTAAAAAAAAAGTAGCACAATTGCGACTGAAATTTTCCAATATGCAGTGGCTCATCGGACGTAAGTCACGGTTATCTCTAAATATCAAGTTGCTCCTCTACAAATCAATGTTGAGGCCTGTTTGGAGTTACGGTTGCCAATTGTGGGGTTGCGCAGCCAAGTCAAATTTAGATAAAATAGAAATCATGCAAATGAAGATCCTGAGAAGTATTACTAAAGCAAGATGATACGAGAGGAATGTAGATATTCGCACGGACCTCAACATTGATTCAGTGGAGGACTACATCACCAAGATGTACACTGCAGACGAATTTCGTCTACACCGGCACCCCAACCCTGAGGCTCTTGAGCTCTTGGAATGGGACCGATGTGGTCGAAGATTAAGACGTCGCAAGCCCTATGAGCTTGGAATCCACGGCTTCTCAAAATTTCCTTAATTAGTTAAACCACACGTGCCTCCCTACGCTCTTAAGACGTAATCGGAGGTTTTTTGGGCTTTGACCGAGTCCAGTTGCCCAATTCTACACAGATAAATTAATAAGGCCTTTTTACTTTGAAGTAAATCTGTCTTCATTCTTTCTCCTTAATATTATAAAGGTAGTACTTTTTATAAAATGTATCTAGAATTAGTTTAATATTATTTAGACAATTAAGACAAGCTTTTAAAAGACTTATATGAAGTCTAAAAGTGTTTATTGTACAAAATTTCTATTGTGCAAATAAAAAAAAAAAAAAAAAAACCCGCAATTTAGTATGATTTTTCAAGAAAAAACCGGGTACAGAAATTTCGAAATAGCAGAAGGGAAGTACATGTATTCGTAGTTTCGTAGTTAAGGAACTCTACATTGAAGAATTTTATCACCAAAACTCCTGCACTTATCCAACTGATTGCGTGTTTCACACTCTCCCAATCATACGAGTAGGGAGATATGCAAAACTCCTCACAGGGCGCATGATGTGCCTTCACTCATCATGATAGTTACCTAAGAGTGACCTCTTAACATTATATGTGAACATCACAGACTCCACTTGATCATTGCCTTGCGCTGTGGTAGAAATACGTCCTACTGCTGTTACAAAATTTCAGACTAACCCCGAGTAGGCAGCTCCCAACCCTACTTACATATCATTTATTGAATCCTCACATATTGAGCAATACCTGAGAAAAAACCGTGACTCCGTTATAGAAGATATAAGGAAAAAATTCAATAATAACCATCAGCAGATTAGGTGGTTGATGTAATAATGCATCTAAAAAGTAATTTTGAGACAATCTCTCACTTAAGATGGCTAGGATCTGAAACTTGGCACGTTGGCTAGAAACTTGAAAAAAAACGTACACGAAAGCATGGCATGGACCGAGTGTCTCGTATTTTTGATGTCTTTGTATTTTGAAAGCACAGCCAAGTTGGAGCCTTTCTGCTATTTTTGGCCTTTACAGTAATTACCTTTTTAATTATACCATTCTTAACTCCCTTAAAACTCTCTTATTTGTGAAAGAGGACTGAGACGTACCTGCGGACACAAAAGTTTATGAGCTCTGTCGCTCAGTTGCTTTAAAAACCAATATGCACTGCAACTGAAACCTTGACGATGTAAGATCGGTGCAACTATAGTGGTCGGTACCTCCTAGGCTGGTCTTATTGGTGTCAGTGATAGTTTGGGTGTAGTTAGGTGATATAGTATGGGTTTTCATGACCTCTCGGGCTTGGTAGCAGAAAATTCAGGCGGCTGCACTGCACTGAGGATTGATCCAACAAGGTCGAAACGCGTCTGCAGTTGCCTTCCTGAATAGACGTAACTAGTGTTGCTCCAAACAGCGTACGTCTTTGAGGGAAAATTGTGCTTGTGTGTGAGCTTTTTCCCTCTATAATGAGCTATCAGCTATAAGCTGAACTTTTTACGCTTGGCTAAAAAACTCCAACATCCCGTCTTACGACCCAAGCGTTTACTGCTATCAGTTTGTGAAAGTAACTTGCCTGGATGTTGCTACCACCACTCAGAATTACTTCAGGTGAATACAAATCATAAAAATAAATAAAAAAATGTGCAAAGAGCAGTATGAGAATATCTACATTCCCAATCGATCCATTCCAGTCGCACAACTTGCGACAGCTCTTCTATCATCACCTTAATAAACTTTTCTTCGGCAACACATGATACCCTTCAAGATTCAAACATACTGTTGAAAAGAGCTGGAAATTGTCAGATAAAGAAGTACACTCATTATTAAAAAAAAAAAAAAAAAAAAAAAAAAGCATTACAACCAATTAAGTACAATACTACATCAGTTCTACTTACATTGTAAGCTGCCCATAACCAGTATACAGCCGCATATATTACAACTTGGATCTGGAAATGAATTTGAGAAATGGATTACAACTTGAGATAGGCTCATTTCTAGCCTGCAAAGATTATCATGAATTTCAGAGGAGTCGAATTCATTTACAACTAGTTCATGGCTTTGAATAATAAATACTGTTGAAAAGTAATATTTACTACTATGAGTACAGGAAATGGTACCTTGTTCTTTTACATGCATGAATTTTTATGTTGAAATCCAGACAGTGCTAATAATTGATGAATGATAAATTTTATCTTTCAGATGGTTCTTGGACCGGGTGCAAATTTAAGACAGAATAGAAGCAGAGTTTGGGCAGAGAGAACTGCTGATATATTGACACTTTTACCTAATAATGTTCATACGGTTCCGGCCATTTTTTAGTGTTTTTTCTGATATTGACATTGTTTTCCACTCCCTAAACCCAACATACAGGGTGAGCGAAAAGTCCCTGACCCCCCCTCTAACTTTTGAACGCATGCTTGTATCGAAACGAAATTTTGGGGATGCTCCTAGATCAATAAGAGCTACTTTTTGGCACATCCAAAATTTTGGGGGGGCTCCGGCTCTGCGAGGGGCGCACACTAACTTGAAATTTTCAAATGGTAACCCCCCTCTTGTGATACATTGTTGGAAAGGTAATAAAAAAAGAAACTTTTTGGCGCAAACCGAAGGTCGCTACGACTTCTCGTTCTCGAGTTATTCTCGGTCAAAGTTCAAAATAGGCCAGTTTTCTAAAAATCGTAAGTCCGGTTCAGAAAGGTGCAGAAAGGCAAACGAGGCGGCAACATTCTCGGCATTGCATGTACTTTCAGAAAAAAATCGTCAAAAACCGTATCGTCTGCGCCTAGAGTGATTTTAGCCTCCCCCCCTCCCGCGATTAACTGTCTTTCTTGCGGGAGGGGCGGCCAGTTCACTCGAGGCGGAAGTAGGTACCTCTTTGAAGGTAACTCAGCTACCTGACGGAGCCCAGACTATTTGAAGGGAGGGAGGGCACTCCCCCCCCCGCCGCCCCGCC